ATTATCTTGTTCTAGACTTCTAGAGTATACATATTTGCTCATATTTTTATGCGTATATGTTTGTGTTTAAAGCTTTTAAGTCTCTAAGTCTAGAAATAACCTTTAGTCTTTAGTAAATGAATTATTAATTTTAATAAAATGAATGTAACAACATCCAAGCCCTACTTATTATAATTTAATATTAGATTGATCATATCTTAATGTTGTGAAAAGGTGATGTTCTTTCAAAATCTGTTTGATTTTATATGCATCATTCAACATTATGTTGAACGCGAGGTTTAATCATACAAGTTTTTGAAATCAATGTTGTCATTTTGCAGCGTTTAGAAATGATATACATATTTAATATTAAGTTTATTCAAACATAATATGAAAGTATAGGTATGTAACTATGTAAGTATGTTATTAGTCTTACCAAGGTTCGGAACTTTAAGCATTTGCATATTTGTTTAGAAAGTGCATATTGAAAATCTGATTCGATACAAATTTGATTCATAGTAAGTATATTACAAATACAAAAATGTTTGTTGCATAATTTTGAATATTTCGTGATTTTTTGTACAAATTCGCATATTTTAGGTATAAGATCATTAATTATATGCATATGATATCATAGAATTAACGTGAACAATTTTTTTTTTAGAAATTTATACTTTTATAATGTTTGACAAAATAAATTAATTCATCAACGGCTATTACTATTGCTCCCAAAAATAATATTATAATCTTTATATCTATTACTGAGAACTTGTAATAGTGATCGCTGACCGGCCCGTATTTATTTTTATTCAAATTTACCACTGGATTAATATTTTGTACCATGATATAAATAAATTGTATAATCGTAGGTAATTAAATACATAAGCGTGCGGTGTTAATTTTTTTTTTAAATTCTTCTAATTTTTTTTTCAGACACCTACCTAATTTAAATTTTTAAATTGTGTATGTAAAATGTGTTTTATTCAATAAATTGCATATTTTCCAAATTTTTACTGCATATTTTTAAGTTCCTAGCCTTGGTTATTATTTATTATTTAAATTTATAAAATATGAATAGGCACCTACATTAGTCAAAAATACAGATACAGGTACCTAACCTATTTGTATACATTTTAAATAATTTTATGCAGTATAATAACATTTATACAACAATTTGGTATAATTAGCTATTGCCTATTTGTCAACTGAATGATATTTATTTCTAATTTTATATTATAAATAATAAATATTATGTAAAATTATTGAGGACACAAAACCCGTTCCATAGCAATATAGCATTGATTATAAATAAAACAATATCCAATATACATAATATGTAGACGGTATATTATTATCTAATGCCTTGTTTTTTTTTTATTATCAATAGAATCATGTGGCTTGACCTATGTAATATAAAATTAAATTAAGATAACAAATACACGTTTTATTACTAGTAAATTGGTAGTTTGATAGCGTACAGATTATAAAGGTTGTAGGTACAACAATGCATCGGCGTAAAACAGAAGCACAAAGTATATTATTATTTTTATTCATTGATCATTGATGGCATTTTTACAAATTAAATACAAAATTTGAATGTAAATAGCTTCTTTAATTATCAACCAATAATTATGAATGATACGTCAAAATTCATTAAAAAAAAATCCTGTAGGAATCATATTTCAAAAATATAGATTCCCATTTGGATTTTAAAAGTTACCCCTAAAATCTCCCCCTTTTAACTAATAAAAAAAAAATTAATATCAAATTAGTTTTGAGTATGTGATTCAAATAAGTTTTCACATAGGTCATTTTTTCCTAATTTGAGTAGATCATGCTGAAATCTGCTGTCACATGAAATTTGGAACACCCTGTATATAAAAATCTTCTATAAAATAATTATTCGTATACAAAAATCCTAACAATTAAATGCAAGGATCTCATAAATTGATCTTACAACATCCTTTAAACATCAAAACTACATTTGTAAATCATTTATACACTACACCTACTTTAAATAAAAACATTTAGTACAACATTTTAGTTCCCTGTTATGGTGTAGGTACTAATGTAAACAATAAATTATTATTCGAAAACACAATTTCGTATACCTATTATTATTTACTAAATACCTACAACTAAACTAAAAATAAATATATGATTACATTCTGAGGGCCTATAATATAATATTATATATGAAAATTGATTCCTTATTAGTTATTATGAATACTTAACGTTCACACAGACCACAAGAAACAATCATTTTAAAAATTTAAAAATTGAAGAACACATCGTTGTAAAATTAATTCAGCATCGATCCCCTCAGAATCTAAAATCTAAAATATATCCGATAAATTTAAAATTAACATATTTCATTAATATTATAATTTCTTATTCAGCAGTATTCGGAGAAAATGATAGACTTGGAATTTTAGAATCTAGGTAGGTAGTTGGTATTATATAGTCGATACTGTAAATTTGATGAATTTACTGAGTATACCTTTATATTACCTAAAATCCAATAATCACGTTTTTATTTAATGATTCATAAAATATAATAAGCTTTTATCTAGACACGCGGTAGCGTGTCAAGCCAAGTTCTAGCTAACAGAACTGGCGAGCAGCACCGTGTGTAATATTACACGAACCATTTGGAGCCACTTTTGACCCCCTCATAACTCAAAAACTATTCCACATAAACATGTCAAATTTGGCTCATATATTGAGACTAACGAGATACATATGTGCTCTAAATTTCATAAACATACTTCAAACCGTTATTTAGATATTAACGTCCGAAAATCGTCATTTTTATCACTGACTTACCTATAGATCAAAATTCTAACCCAGTTCCAGATGACCTAGAAAGTTCAAATTTGGCATACAGATAGGTAGTTAGGTAAATACAAAGGAAAAAATCAGAAACTTGAAAATTTTTAATTTAAAATTTTTAAATTTTTAATTTTTAATTTTTCAATTTTTAATTTTTTAATCAATTGATTTTATTATAATTTTGCAATTATTTTATCTATTATGTTTAATTTTTCAATTTATTAATGAATTGCCTCTAATTTAATGTAATGTTGACTTAAATAACCTTTCCCGTATCGCCGCTCCAAAAATACGACTAGCCGAATATGTGTCGATATTGTCGACCCGCCCGCGGCCACATACTTTTTTTTCTATCTATGTATTTAATTAATATTATTTTTTTTAAATATTACAATTAAAATAATTAAATAATTATTCTTACAAATTATGAATTATCCACCCAACAGTAGAAACTACAGTCAATAAAATTATGATAATTAAAAATATACTCAAAAAGAGTTAAAATAATTGTATATTAATTTTACATATATTTTATACTCTGTATATACAACGGAAAATATTTTATAATAAATATTATTATTAATATTAGTAACTGAATTATATTATATAGTAATAAACTTTATTTATAGAATACGTCATGGCTAGGTTAGGTTAGGTTATAATAATTTACATACAAAAAGTAATGATATCCCACCAAAAACATATATGTAAAATGAGAGCCAAGTTCAATACTATAATAATATATACCTTGGTTGTTGACTTCAACGACAAAAGAAGTGAGATCTAAATGGGTGCCAAGTTAGGATAATATATTGAAGCCTAAGGTCTGACTTGGCTACGAATTATATATTATAGCATTTGCAAGTTCTAAAGCTTTGAGTTCTTATTTTATTCTTCGGAAAATCATCTTCACTCTTCCATTACTGTTTTAGTAGGTACCTACTTATAATAATAATTCGTATATGAAAAGTAGCCAAGTCACACCTTAGGCTTCAATATATTATCCTAACTTGGCACCCATTTAGATCTCACTTCTTTTGTCGTTGAAGTCAACAACCAAGGTATATATTATTATAGTATTGAACTTGGCTCTCATTTTACATATATGTTTTTGGTGGGATAAAAATATACTTGTACTTCTGCAGATATCTATTCACCATTTTTTTTTTTTTTTTTTTATTTAAGGCGGCTCTTAGTGGTTATTATTTAAGGGGAACAATTTAGGCAATTTCTAATCTTGTCGTCGCCGCCCATAATCTATGTGTTAGTCGTAAATGATTATTAGTGTGAAATTCGAAGAAATTCGAACTCGATAACAATAGATTTTATATTGCCCGGCTGCGGGCACACGGTTCAATAGTACACGTACGCGCATGCACAAGTCAACGTAATCACTCTCGAAAAATATTTTTGTACACTCACAACAGTGAAAAATGCTAATAAGCTGGCGAAAAATACACATACTTCTAGTAGTCCAATTTCAATTTTGAAAAATTATTTGAATTCGTCAGCTTCTTTTCTATGATTTGTAGGAAACCGATTTTGGATATTTTAGATAATTTACGTATATTACATTATTACGGTTCCAAATGACTGCTTAATTTCTCAAATTTAACTTGCACTTTTAAGTGCTAACTAGACAAAAAGATGAAAAAGTTTTTCCTACAGATCATAGAAAAGAGGCTAACAAATCCAAATAATATATATATATATATTATATTATATATATATATTATTTCAAAATTGAAATTGGACTACTAGAAGTATGTGTATTTTTCGCCAGCTTATTGGTCTAAATGCATGAAAAATCCAATCGTTTAGAGCCGCCTTAACGACTATAATATTTATGTTGATCTGTACATAAACTGATTATTTTCAATTAAAATACATCTACTTCACCGATAATGTAATACAGATACACAATATTAATTTGTCAAAACTACAACTTCAGTACTGAAACTATAATTAAATGATAAATAGGTAATTTTAATCACGAGCGGTAGAAACACATAAATGTATACCTTCTACAGGTACTTACAAGACAATAATAATAATAATAATAATTATAAAAAAATTCATTTTGCACAATTTTGAAATCCATTTGTAAGCACCGATGGTAGTACAGGTGCTTATCGACTAAAGGATAAGGTATCTGTTGGTTAATGTTGAACTTCATTGATTATACCCTGCTAGTCCGTAACTAATAAACTGTCTTTCGACGTTGAATTTAGTGAATCCTCATACTTGCAATGCGCCAGATCAGATAATTCCTCAAAATGCTTCTGTCGTTTTCGCACATTCCAATGTAGACATTCAGCCAATGAATCAAACCAATCAGATATTTGGTCTTGAGCACATATTGATGGTAACGAATATATAGATGTAGTTACTTGTAAGCTATCATCTGCACACAACTCCTGTTGATTTCGGCCGTCGAATGAAACCCAAGCTGTTGATCTTGCATCCGGACTCAACATAATAAGGTCCATGTCCCCGGCACCCCCCATTGCGATTTTTGGGTCCAAACCCGGGGCGATCGTTTGTGCTTCGTTAGTGCACGTTAGTGCTTTTTATCCCGTCGTTAGTGCTTTATCCATTCCAAAGTTATTCGCATTTCGTACAGGGGGGTGCCGGGGACATGCCTGCACCCCCCATTTCGAATTTCGGGCCCAAACCCAGGGCGATCGTTTGTGCTTCGTTAGTGCACGTAAGTGCTTTTTATCCCGTCGTTAGTGCTTTATCCGATCCAAAGTTATTCGCATTTCGTACAGGGGGGTGCTGGAGACATGCCTGCACCCCCCATTTCGAATTTCGGGCCCAAACAAATTGCATTCGTTTGTGCTTCGTTAGTGCACGTTAGTGCTTCTCATCCCGTCGTTAGTGCTTTATCCGTTCCAAAGTTATTCGCATTTCGTACAGGGGGGTGCTGGGGACATGCCTGCACCCCCCATTTCGAATTTCGGGCCCAAACAAATTTCATTCGTTTGTGCTTCGTTAGTGCACGTTAGTGCTTCTTATCCCGTCGTTAGTGCTCCATCCCTTAAATTGTATTTGAATTTCCTACAGGGGGTTCTAAGGACATGCTAATTTAGATTTCGAATTTTGGGTCCAAAAATCTTTTATTCGTTTATGCTTCGTTAGTCCTTCAGTGTTTTATTCGTCCGGTCGTTAGAGCTCTACTCCTTCAAAAGTTATTGGCATTTCGTACGGGGGGGGGGGGGTACTAGTGACGTACTAATTCGAGTCCCAGTCCCCAAAGTTTTGTCTGAAACTCTTCAACACATTGAGGTTAAAATGATCCTTTGATGCATTGCAGTTAAATATCGTAGTTTTGGGATTAAATTACTTAAATCTGGGTTTTATATATTATGTAAAAAAGAATATTATTAAAATTTCATATTTATGCTAATTTCTGCCAAAAGCTTTAATAGATATAACTAAATAACTAATAAGTATATAACTTTAATTTGTCCATGCGTATATGATTTACCGATATTTAAAAATATCGTAGACAGCTGATCGATAAAACTGAGTATCTAATTTTAAAAATTCTCAAAAAACTACGTAAGTACCAGTACCTATCTATATGTACCTATAATATACCTATACCCCTTACCAAAACACTACCTCCTACGAATTTTATAATTCTTTTGTTGCAATTATTTAATAACTATAGGTATAATGTGTATGATTTATGTATGATAGGTGTTGATGTATGCTTGTTTGAAAAAAATATGGTTTTAAAATAAAATCGTTCGCGTTATTTGTAAATATTTAAAAGTTATTTGTTAGGTATTTAACCAATAATCAATATAGATTTACGATTCTACGACCTTATACTATAAATGTTATTGCGATACAGAACCAAGATAGGTAACTTTTATCCATTCTATGAGTTCTAGAACGCCAACCCCTGGATTATTCTAACATTAGGTGAAATAATATTAATGATACCATTGAGTATAATATATATTGTTGTACAATATAGGTACGTATACTCAATGATGATAGGTATAATGGTATAAATATTTTTTTTTAAGTCCGGGAACAAATTTAATATTTTTTACGTAACTACCTATTTAGTGTATGATAATATATTATATATCTACCCAAAATATTTATGTTTGCCTATAACAACTATCTATACCTACATCATTGCAGTTAATGATTATAAATAAGATAGGAAGGTATAGATATATAAAGTATAAAACCTGTATAAAAATCGATTTAAGAAATAATAATCGTGATTTAAATAGCTAAAAAAACATTTGTATGTTCACAGTCTATTTTTTTTCACCACGGTAATTTCACAACGTTCAAGGCAGGATGTCCCGGTTGAGCACAATTATTTTACCGCGGTGAAAATCACGGGGAGATTTCACACTCGTTGTCCACCTATTCGCCGCTCACACAAAAATATTTACCGTATAGCATTTTACGGGGAGATTTCACACTCGTTGTCCACCTATTCGCCCCTCACACAAAAATATTTACCGTATAGCATTTTACAGGGAGATTTCACAAATTTTGAATAATTTAAGTAAAAAAACTTGTGTAAATATATTTAAGAATTCGTTTATATCAATAAAAAAATCTATTATTACATAATTTGTGTTCTGTACTTTAAATAATTATTTCATTTTAATAATAAGGTTTGTTGGGGAAAAACCATTTAGTGTGTACACGGTAAATATTTTTGAGTAAGCGGCAAAACCGATTTTGAGTGTGCAAACTCCCTGTAACTTTAAAATACGGTAAATATTTTTCTGAAACGAAGAATTCGTGGACAAAAATTGTGAAATCTCCCTGTAAAATGCTATACGGTAAATATTTTTATCTGAGGCGCGAATAGGTGGACAACGAGTGTGAAATCTCCCCGTAAAATGCTATACGGTAAATATTTTTATGTGAGGCGCGAATAGGTGGACAACGAGTGTGAAATCTCCCCGTGATTTTCACCGCGGTAAAATAATTGTGTTCAACCGGGACATCCTGCATTGAACGTTGTGAAATTACCGTAGTGAAAAAAAAATAGACTGTGAACATACAAATGTTTTTTAGCTATTTAAATCACGATTATTATTTCTTAAATCGATTTTTATACAGGTTTTATACTTTATACATCTATACCTTCCTATCTAATTTATAATCATTAACTGCAATGATGTAGGTATAGGTAGTTGTTATAGGCAAACATAAATATTTTGGGTAGATATAAATATTGTCGTATACGCCACGCAAAGGCTTGACGTATATAACAGATATGTTTCGGTTTCCGATTCTCTAACCGTCGAACGAGTAAATTATCGACACCTGCTGTATGAGTTTAATTTAATTTCTACTTTTGGTGACCACGATAACGAGTACTGCGCAAAAGAATAATTAAATAAAAGTCCAGCAGGATTTACACTATACAACTCTAAGGTTATTTTACTCCCGAACAACTGACCACGATAACGAGTACTGGATGTTCGAGGGTGAGGTATCTTTTACCTAGACAAAGTCTTACTCTTTCTCGACTGACCACGATAACGAGTACTGGACGAGAAAGTAAGTACCACAGTGTCTTACTACCTGTTTTTAAAAGTGTTATTCACCACAACGTCTCTGTATCAACTCGTAAGATAAAATATTCTAAAAAAAGGCGTAAAGAAAAACAGTGACACTTGGTTTTTAAAAAAAAGAATTAAATATAATAAAATATATCAAAAACAAATAATAAAAAGAAACGTAAAAATACTGCAGCTCGTTGGCTACTACAATAATCGAAACAAACAAAACAACAGCCCCGCTCCCGTCGCAGACGTCGCCTAAGTAGTCGTGGCAATTTTGCTGACTCGGTTTGATTGACTTTCTGCTTCGTATGTTATTTTAATATTTTATAATTTCATTATATATACAACAATTTAATATTATCATACACTAAATAGGTAGGTAGGTACGTAAAAAATATTAAATTTTCTCTCGGACTTAAAAAAAAATATATTTATACCATTATACCTATCATCATTGTCAGTGCCGGCGCTGGGTATTGCAGGGCCCTGGACATAGGTAATAGAGGGCAAAATTCTAGCTTTTTTTAAATTAATGCTATTTTTATTTGAATTTTAAACATTAAAAATAATAATATCAGATTATTCATATTCTTTTTTTTTTTTTATTAAAATGTATTAACAAAAAATTATTTACAAATAATAAAATAATATATATGTGTTGAAAATTATAATTTAATAAATTCGTGGGGGACTTATTATTTTATTAATTTATATTTATTTTAATAATCACAAAACATCAATTAAAAATAAATAAAATCATCAAAATGTTTGAATGATATAATAAATTGTTTAATATCTAAGTACGCGGTGGTAGACAATAAAATATGTTAAAACTAATCCTGATACACTAGATACGCAAGCAGTAGGGAAATATTATTATTTAATACTGCTATACTGTATCTAAACTGAATTGTAATAATAATTTCATAAAATGAAAACTTACTTTTATGATATTATGCAGAAATTGTTGAAAAAATACTCTAAGGGGCAAAGCGGACTGCAGTCAAATACTCAAATGTCGAACATATAATACTAGATAATCAAATAAATATTTTAAGAATATAGCTCTTGCCGCTTCTATAATACGGTCATACGACAATACGCGGAAAGCTTTTCCAAACAAAGAACAGAAAAACAATAACTATAAAGATAATAAATATTCATAATTATAATTATGGTTAGGTTACTCATTACTCCTACAGACCTCGAGTATCGTCAAAATATTACTCCTTCATCGTATCGATAACGATTTACTTTGTACTATGGCTAAATTTAGATATAATTTTCCAAATAATTAATGATAGAAATAATATTAATATTAATATATTATACATGTGCAGTATAGTACAACAAATGTATAGATTTATAATTTATTAATATAAAATGTCAATGTGTTTCACGGTATTAAGATGACATTAAAAATCGCGGGGCTTGTTAGAAACTAGAAAGCGAGGGGCACTGAACATATGTCCCATTTGTCCTCCCATAGAGCCGGCACTTATCATTGAGTATACGTACCTATATTGTACAACAATATATTATACTCAATGTTATCATTAATATTATTTTTCAAGACAAAACTTTTGGGACTGGACTCGAATTAGTACGTCACTAGTACCCCCCCCCCCGTACGAAATGCCAATAACTTTTGAAGGAGTAGAGCACTAACGACCGGATGAATAACACACTGAAGGACTAACGAAGCATAAACGAATAAAAGATTTTTGGACCCAAAATTCGAAATCTAAATTAGCATGTCCTTAGAACCCCCTGTAGGAAATTCAAATACAATTTAAGGGATGGAGCACTAACGACGGGATAAGAAGCACTAACGTGCACTAACGAAGCACAAACGAATGAAATTTGTTTGGGCCCGAAATTCGAAATGGGGGGTGCAGGCATGTCTCCAGCACCCCCCTGTACGAAATGCGAATAACTTTGGATCGGATAAA